AGTTTAGATTCGTTTCAGAAAGTTTAGATTCGTTTCAGAAAGTTTAGGTTCGTTTCAGAAAGTTTAGGTTCGTTTCAGAAACTTTAGATTCATTTCAGAAACTTTAGATTCATTTCAGAAAACAAGCTGCTGCTTGTTTAAATCAATAAAATACAGATTTTTATTCTCTAGTAGTTTATTCCATTCAGTCTTTCCATTTTAATTTCTATTATTTTAATCTCATTCTTCAATTTCGTCAGTTTTTGTTTCGTTGCTCCTCCAAAACCAAACTCCAAAAAAAACCCATCCCAAGGTGCAGCTCCAGCAGGAGGTCCGAGCTGACGGTTCTGCTCTCTGCAGCATCCTCTGCCCCACTCCTCTTCATCGTTCACTCACGTCTCCAGTCGACGCGCTCCGGTTCAGATTAAAGAGCTGAACGTCAGAGAATGCCCAAAATTAACCTTCAAGCTGGGTGGAGCTCGCACCAGAGCAGCCTGTCTACATCGTTTACCCAGAATGCATTGCAGTGTAAACAACATTAACAACATAAGATCAAACCTTCTGGAAGCGTGGTCCAGCAGCAGAAAGACCATAGTAGAGATGATGATGTGGACAGAGGCGTTCACCATAGCATGGAAAGATCCCATTCCCCCAGGTGCAAAACCAACTCCCCACCACCACGACATAAACGAGTGGTGGAAGATGTGAAGGAAAATGATCTGGCCATGTTTTTTCCTCAATACAAACAAGACTGTGTCCATCAACTCTGTAATTTTTTGAAAACCAGAGGAGCCTTGCCACTCCAACCATTCGTAGAGCTCGAGGACTGTTTGAGACGTCAACTGGATCACATCTCCAGGTGTATGCTGTGACCCATCCGGACATCATAAGCTCATAAACAATAAATATTGACAATGCCACCAGCATGAAGTTGGATACTATTGTGGGTTCCTTGAGCTGGAAGGGTGCACGCTTGGTCTTTATGCGAGGTCGAAGGACCAGTACGTCACTGGAACAGGAGACCACATCAGAGGATGGTCTTTCATTCGTGGATCAACTCCTGCCACAAGATCGACATGGATTTCCATGAGCCAACCTCCTGGATCTGCTGCAGGATACTTCTGACCAAATTATTTCTGCTGGTGTCCCACGCTTCCAAAAGATTTGTGGTGTCAGAAGTGGGATGTGTTTATATATATTTATATTAATCAGTCTGTATTTTGGTCCTGTTTTAATAACTGAAGCAAAAATGTTTATCAGAAGAGGTTTATTGATCCATGACTTTGTGAAGTGATCGATTCTTGTTTCTCTGCAGAACCAAGAACCCGTGTTCTCCAAAGACGGGAACCGGTTCTTTCTGACGGTTCCTGTAAAACAAGGAGGACGAGGGGAGTTCCACCACATCGCCATGTTCACAACACAGGTCAGACGTAAAACACAAACTATCTGCTGAAGGGTTTTTATCTCAACGTTTAAATATTAAACTCTGTTTTTACGTTTGACCATCACTTCCTGACACCTTTTGTTTTTATGTTCTGTTCAGATTCAAACCGTCACCGATGTTAGTCAAGTTTTGTGTCTTAATACTTTTATCTCAATTTGTCTGCAAGACAAAAAACTGGATGTTTTCTCGTAACGAGCGAGTTTCTTACTTTATTTGAACAAACTTTGTGGTACACGGTACAACTAAATAATAACTATACTGAGTTCCTACAAAAAAAACTTTTGGTTTTCAGTTCAGAGCGGATCAAAACGAAGTCCGTCATCTAACGTCAGGAAACTGGGAGGTGACGAAGATCATCTCGTACGACGAAAACACCGATAACCTGTGAGTTTGACCGAAACGCTGAACAACAAAGATGTTCGACTAATTTAAATCTGCGCTCAGGACACTGTACAAGAAAAACAAACAAGGTCCATTATAATCCAGTGAACTCCAGTTTAACCAGAGACCAGCTTCCTGTTTGTGGTAATGATTGACAGGTCTCACAGACCACTTTAATGCGAGTAGGGAGCAGGTGGAAGAGAGCCCGGAGAGGTGGAGTTCCACTCTGAAGGGAACAGAGAACATTCATGGAGGATTGGTGTGACAGAGGAGCATTCTGGGAAATGGAGGCAGATGATCCCTTAAAGGGAGCTGCCCTAAGGAGGATTATAATCCAGTAACATTTCAGTTTAAATTGTGTCATTATATACCGCACTACTACACAGTGTGTTGAGCTAAATATTTTATTTTATGACTCAAACTAAAATTGAACAAAAAGATGATTTAGTATGTTCCTTTATTAAAATGTTTGTGTTTTTATTTCCTCTTCAGGTATTTTCTCAGCACAGAGGGATCATCACGAAGACGACAACTTTACAGGTTCGAGTCTTTTGTTTATTGCCCTTCAGATAAAAAATAAAAATGGCTATTACACCAAAATCTGACTTATTGGACAAGTTTGTCCTTTTGGGAACAATATTTTATAAAAACAGAAATGCTCTAATTAAACCATCATTGTCACAGATAATTGTAAAATAAACATTTAATGTGTGTCGTCTCTGAAATCTAAAGGAAACTTGCTGATAAAAATGCACCCAGAAAGATGGATATTTGAGTAAAGCATGTCCAGTTGTTGCTTTAGGAGGAATATTCATATATAAATATATATTACGTCTCTTCTGTCCTCAGTGTTAAAACTGTGGGTCTGTTCCCACGAAGGTGTTTAACCTGCGAGCTGAACAAAGCTCACTGTTTGTACTTCGACGCCGACATCAGCGCCACGAACCGGCACGTCATCCTGCGCTGCAGAGGTAGGCCGCGAGCTGCAAGGCCCTTCAGTTTTACTGCCGTTAAATGGCTCCCCGAGCGACGCCGGCTGATATAATGCAGCACATCTCCATACGAGTGGGCTGCAGTCAGGAGGAGGAGATTATAAAATTGTCATAAGATTTAATTTGGTCTGATTTAGAAGTTCACAGGGGCAGAAAACTACCTGCTGCTTTAGAGGAGCACTCAAATGGGGAGTCTGAGCGTTTTCCATCAGATCAGATTAGCACATTAAAAATAAAAAAATAAAAGCTGATAACTAGAATTAGTCGTGTTTCAAATCTAAAATTGGCAGCAGCTTAAAGCTGGATGATTCCACGACGGGGGCAAACGGTTAAAGTGGATAAAAGACAGTTTCCAGGTTTGTCCAAAAAACACAGCAGCAGCTCTTCTCACCTGGTTTCCATGGTGATGAGTTAAGGTCAAAATACCTTCACTTTAAAAATGGTTCGGATTTAAACTGTACCTTAAAAAAAGATCCTGTTCCTTTTCCTGGTATTGGCCTAAAGATAAAGTTTTACTACACCTGACTCTGTGGACCTAAACCAAAACCTGAATTTGGTCAACTTTAGTCCAGGGCTTAATTTGTAACGCAATCGATGCCGGAATGCAAATTGCAGTTGGGCCGAGGGGTGGTGGTCTGGGTGGGGTCCTCCCAGACACTCCACCTGCTTTGAATGTTGTCAGCCATTAAATGGCCGTTATTAGTCATTATCATCCCCATAGGTTGCCTTCAGACTGTCCCTCCTGTACCTTCTAGTAGGTTTAAAGGTGTGTTCTTATCGTTGATAATATGTCATGGGTCAGGGGGTTAGGGTCAGGCTAAGTGCTCAGGGTCAGGTGTAAGGTTAAGTTTTAGGAAAAGGTTAAATAAAGCTAACAAAAAAAGCTTCCGGTTTTACATGTGGGCGAAGCTGCATATTATCAGCGATAAGAACGTACCTTTAAACCTACTAGGAGGTACAGTCTGAAGGAAACCTATGGGATAATGACTAATAACGGCCATTTAATGGGCTGAAAACATTCAAAGCCACTGCGCACTCACCTCCACCACTCTTTTAGAAGCAGAGTTGTTTTTTTTAAGTGTAGAGGTAGAAATGCTTCATTTGAAGGGGCAGATGATCGTATGAGAGATTAAGAAGTTGTGTTGTGTTTAAAATGAGTGTTTATGTAATTATTTTCTGATTACATAACCAATATAGGTTTTATTTGTTCAAGGCACTTATATTTGCTCATAACTTTAGAGTTACCAGATTCAAGCAAACAGTTGCTGGAACGTACCCTGTCAAAATGAGAGAGTTCCCGGATCCTGCAGGATCCAGCTCAAATTAAGCCCTGCTTTAGTCTAACCCTAACTTGGTAAACTTTAGTCTAATCTTAACTTGGTAAAATTTAGTCTAATCCTAACTTGATATGTGTTGGTTGATTATAATTTGCAAATGATAATATTTAATTTAAATTGTTTAAATATCCAAGCACATGCATGTGAAACTTGTAGTTCATCCAAGGATCTTAAACTGGAGTTTTTAGTTTAAGTGAGTCGCAGACTGGACCGAATCCTCCTGTATCTGGTTTGTGGTTCAGATGTGACACCTGTTCCTGGACAGGTACGTAACAGAACAGCTCGTTGTCATGGAGACGATCCTGACAAACTGGTCTTTTCATCAGGAGAGCTCTTAAAGTCCACTCAAGGACGACCTCTGATGGGTTTTGCGTTTTATAAATATATAAACAAATCTATATTTAGCAGTTAGTTGTAATATGTGTACAATAAATAATAATAAATGTTTTAAACTTGTTTTTTTTTGTTTCTTTTCAGGTCCCGGAGCACCAACTGTAATTTTACACAACCTCAATAATTCCAGTAAGTGATTTAAAAAATGTTTTTATCGTTTGTCATTTTCATTTTGTCTGAACTTTATGATGTTGGACTCGTACTTTAAATTAGGAAATGTTGGGATTAAAAAGCTTATCATTGTTTGAATATTTGAACTAAGTTGTCTGAAGAAGATAGTTTAAACCATCAGCCTAGAACATTATTATTATTTAATTATTTAATAACATCAGAATTATTTAAAATATATCAAAGTGATTTTTTTTTAATGCTCTCTTAACATTAAGCCTCATCTGGGACCAAAACCTTAAAATTAAAGGCTTTTATTGTGGTAAATTTAGTGTTTAGAAACATTAAACCACAAAAAAGGATTATTTTAGTTTAGCCAAAACATAAAATAATACAATTTTAGTGTTTTAGTCCTAAACCTGCCGCAGCAGGACGCCACTTTCCACCCGTCTCATGACCAATCCGGTTCTTTGCCTCCCGTCGGGACCAGCTTTACTCCAAACAGAAACCAAAACGTTGGCGGCTGACGGGAATTTGATTTTAATGTTCAAATCTTAAAACTGATTTTCATTTAACGGATAAGCCGAGAAGCTGAATTTAACTGATGGTGACAAAAATCCATAAATACGGTAATCGTTCCTGAACTTAGCCACGTTTTTTATTTATAAGATCACAAAATGTTCAAAGTTTATCAGCTTAAGATGTGCTAATCCACAGCTAATCCCTGGCAGTCGTTGAAGAGAATCAACACTTGTTTTGTTAGTTGGTGTTAAAATGGGTGAACTGGGACATAAAGTGTCTTCATTAATGCTCGGCCTCTGGAGGAGCAGATACAGAGTTCAGAGGTCACGGGTAGCACGTCTTCAAGATCCATAAGTCAGATTTGATCAAATCTTTGTGTCGTGCAGACACCTGCCTCAGAACGTCCAGGCGGCCCCCGCTCTCCGGTAGTTAACAGCTGTGCCGTGGAAAAGCAAGCAGTTTGCTGCGGGTTGTTTGGACAGAACCGGCCTCCACAGCTGGGAGCTGGAGACCCGCTGCGGTTTCATAATGAGCCGTCTATTGATTCTGGGTTTCCATTAGAGGAGCTGGATGGATTCCACTTCATTTAGCCGTTTTTCAGACGGCTGCAATGGTAAAAATAATAAATAAGTCGTGGGACGTTGTTTATTACATGTGGAGGAACTACTTGGTGTTTTCAGACTCTACAGACGGAGGCTTAACCAGCTGCGTTCAGTGTGATTATCTTTAGGTTTATTGTCGCATGCAGATCAACACAAGGTCAACACAAGGTCAACGATGCAATGAAATGCTCAGGACGAGAAGAACCGTCTCGACTCACCAAGAAAACAACAACAAAAAGAAATACCAAAGCATGCAACAAAAATACGAAAACAAGGCGCCAAAAGTGAAAGAGAAATACCGTATTTTTTGGCGTATAAGTCGCAGTTTTTTTGCGTAACTTACACGCCCTGCGACTTATACGCCGAGGCAACATATTTATGAACAATTTTAGGCTGAGATGACGTTTTCATTCATTCTGACTGAGAAAAAACAATTTGAGCAGTACCACTTTCAGCTACTTGATGGCAGCAGAGGAGGAGTAGTGTATGGCATGCTGTTGTATCATGTAATAATAGGTAAACGTGGCTATAATGACAAATTCAAACATGTTCAAGACAAAAACAACTGACTTTATTGTACTTTACTGTTTTTGTCTTGAACTTTTTTTTTATTTTTCATGACCTGGATGACTGAGAATATTCACCAGCTATTAATGACACAATCGGCTTGCCATAGCCCCCCGCCTTCATTCTGCTCGCTGCTTGGAGCAAACTAAGCTTCATTTCGCGGCACCGCCCCGGCGAAATGCAGCTGATTTGACCGTTAAAGTGCATTTATTAAGTAAAAGTTCAACTGAGACACCTTTACTATAACGTCGAGCAAACAAATAATTGTTTTTAAGTGTTAATCTAGTTAAATTCTTGTTGAAGTCCTCCGTGCACGCTCCCATGGCCACCAACACCGGCCCACATTTCCAGGTTGTCAGCGGTGACACGTAATAGATGCAACGTACGCTGCAAAGCGACATATTTATAATTTTTAACACTATATTATACATATTTGGACTGATGCTACTTATAGGGCGGAGCAACGTTTACGGCGGAATATACGGTACATCTACAGCAGCATGGTTCTGTTAGCAGCACGATGATAATAACGACTGTGCAACGGACGATGACTGTCCTCCAGAACCGGGTCCAACAGACACAGAACATCCAAGGTTTCCCCGCGGAACCGAATTTGATTCTGAATTTACCCCAAAGTTTCCAGCTCCTCACTTCCTGTAGATTTTCTCCAAGCTGTCAGACTGGATCCACCGGACTCTGATCTGAATGGTTTCAATCCCGTGTCTTCACACCGAGCTCCTTCCCTCCACAGATTACTACGTTCTGGAGAGTAACTCCTTACTGAAGGCGGCTCTGAGGTACAAACGGATCCAGATGACGGAGTTCAGGACCGTTCCAATAGAACATTTTGGTGAGAATAAAGTTTTTTTTGTTTCTACAGCGTTAATCTGATTCAATACTTTTACTTTTTCTTTTTTTTTTACAGATTTACCTCTAAAGATTTCGTACCCTCCGGACTTCTCAGAATCTCGTCAGTACGGACTCCTGCTGATGGCGTACGAACAGAACCTTCTGATTTTACACAGAAAGTGACACGTTATGGAGCGTTATCGTGATAAACAATTTACACATCTGCGTTTTAATCTGTATTAATGTTTAATGGGACGGTGAACCCTTCTCCCCCCACTGGGATTAAAAACTTGACGGCTGACCTCATTAACAGGAGTGACTTTTAAACACGTAGTCTATGCAGCCGCCATTTTACCAGCTACGTTTGTTAGCATGGCTAGCAATCGTAGCCAACTCTGAAACAAACATGGAGCACGCAATGAGCTGTGATGAGTTTAAGGACACACGTAAATGACAAACTCAGTCTAAAAACAGTGTGAATTGTGGTGTGTTCAAGGACTCTCATAAATGATAAACTCTGTCCAAAAACACAAAGCATTCAGTGAGCTGATGTGTTTAAGGACACACGTAAATGATAAAACTCTTAATCCAAAAACACAGTGCAAGCTGTGGTGTGTTCAAGGACTCCCGTAAACGATAAACTCAGTCCAAAAACACAAAGCATTCAGTGAGCTGATGTGTTTAAGGACACACAGAAATGATAAACTCTGTCTAAAAACACAGTGAGCTGTGATGTGTTCAAGGACTCTTGTAAACAATAAACTCCTTGTCCAAAAACACAAATGTGGAGCATTCAGGGAGATGTGATGTGTTCAAAGACCCTCATGAATAATAAACTTCAAGTGAATTACATGCAGATGCTAAAACGTACATTTGAAAATTACGATGTAGTTATTTTTGGTATATATACAGCTGTACACACATTACTCACACAACTGTAGTACAAATACACAAAACAAAGGCTGGAGTTGAAATAAGAGATTTCATAAAAGGTAATTAAAAAAAACAATTGAAGGAACAATGCTCAAGAACAACAGACAAATATGTGATTTTCTTTTGGGGGGGGGACTCGGGTCAGCTGTGTGACCCTCCAGAACCACAAAGTCTCCTTGTTGTGTTTGCAGTGACAGCGCCCCCGGAGGTCAGGCTGTCAGCGATCGTTTCTCCCTGAGCTGGGACTCGGTTCTGGTCAGTTCCGATAACGTCATCGTGGCCCGCCTGGACGGTCGGGGCAGCGGCTTCCAGGGTCAGAGAATCCTGCACGAAGTCCACCAGAGACTGGGGACGGTGGACGTTCAGGACCAGATCGCTGCAGTCGAGTACGGCTCTTTAACGTTTCTGCGCCGAGGCTTCGGGCTCGCATCGATCGTCTGACGTTTAAATGTGAAAATAGTTTTTATCTTGGATTCAGATATTTTACTGAAAGTGCAGACTGACACGTTTTACCTGAACTGATTCCATAAAACAAGTTTTTAATAAATGAACCTCGTTTAAGTTCAGTGACTGACCTTTAATCTATCGACTGGGACGATAAATCTAAGAGTTTAAAACGATTTTACAAAGATAAAAGAATAAAACAGGACGTTTATATCAGTAAGTAAAGTTTGTAAACACTTCAGATGGTTTGAGGGTTTCCTTCAGATCTTTAAACCAGACGTGGTGTCCTGTGCGTTTATATTTTCAGATACTTGATCAAGTTTCCGTTTATCGATCGGACACGGATAGCAGTGTTTGGAAAGGTAAGAAAACTGTCCTTTAACCGCCGTCTCACCAAACTACGACCGCTACACGTTATTTGGTGATTTTGTTGCACTTCTTTCAGCTGTTCCCTCTTCAAGGGTCTCCAGAACGTCCTCCTCCGTCTCACTCTGTCCTCGTCCTCACTCCATCTACCTCCATGTCCTCTTTGTCTTTTTCCTGGCAGCTGCATTTCTAACATCCTTCTACCGATATAACCACCGTCCCTCCCTCTGGACATGTCCAAACCACCGTCCCTCCCTCTGGACATGTCCAAACCACCGTCCCTCCTCTGGACATGTCCAAATCACCGTCCCTCCTCTGGACATGTCCAAACCATCTTCATCTGTCCTCTCTAACTTTATCTCCCAGTTGTTCAACCTGTGCTGCACCTCAGATGATCTCATCCCCAAACCTGCAAACTTGTCACTTTTTGGTGAAAATCACTAATTTCAATCAAAAATGTCATTTACATGAATCGTCTAGATGTGAAGAGGGTTTTTTCGGGGGGGCGGGGGGGGCAGCTGTCAGAGGCCTGTTAGATGGTATAATTTCTAATTGATTGGAATTAGGTATCACTACATAAGTCGCAGTAGATAGCTCGTAACAAAGCTCGCGCTAGCTAACAAGCGTAGCACTACACGTGCCGGGAGTTGTCGACCAGGGTGGGGGTGGGAGGGGTTAGGATGCGTTACAGAAGCGGAGCGCTACATATAGCATCTTAGCTAGCGCGTCGGTATTGTGCGCCGCTAGCTTAGCGCTATGTATTAAAAAAAAAAGTTTTTGCTATTAGCAAAATGCTCTGCTATGTTTGATTACTCAGGTGAGCTTGTTGTTTATTTATTTTATTTTATTTTAGGTTGACTAATGGGCAGCACAGTGGTGCAGTTGGTAGAGCTGCTGCCTCTCTGAGAGCAGGTCACTGGTTCAAATCCTGGTCCGGAGTACCTTTCTGGGTGGAGTTTGCATGTTCTCTCCGTGCATGCGTGGGTTTTCTCCGGGTACTCCGGTTTCCTCCCACAGACCAAAAACATGCATGAAACAAGACGGAGCCCCCCCCCCCCCCCACCCGAGGTTGGCCTGTTAGCTTAGCTCGTAGCTTAGCTTCTCAGCTTAGCTGCTTTTAACGAACCAAAAACGTGATTTTGTATCGTTAAAAGTAATTTTAAAGAGAAAGGGAGGGGTCAGTGAAGAACACCGGAGTTGAACTTTTTGTCATCCAGTGTCTTCAGTAGAAAGAGAGAGACGCAAAGAAACGTTAAAGCCGATAAATGAAAAGAGGTCGATAATTTTCATTCTTCATGCGATTAATTGATTTATTGTTTATTGTGACGGGCCTAATGACAGGTCTTCAAACCTCCAAGAGACTCCACGGGAACACCAGCTGGTCTCCAGACGCAGCTCATCGAGCTCCTCCGTGTGTTTCACTGAATAAAATCAGATGTTTTTTATTTTCCAGGGTTACGGAGCGTACCTGACGTTAATGATGCTGAAGTCTACAGACAACCTGTTCAAGTGTGCGTGTGCCACGTCTCCGGTGACGGACTGGAAACTCTACGGTGAGGAAACTGAACCGTTGTGGAGCGAGCGTGGAGTTCCAGTCCAACCTCATGGTGTTCAATTTGAAGTGAATCAGACTTTTATTTGTACGCCGGAGTAAAGAGCGGCGAAGTGACAGCGTGTTCACAGAGTGTTACTTCCTGTTCGGTGTTTGGGCTCCCGGTGACAGCAGCACTTTACTGGAAGTGAATCGTGTTGTTGCCGGCAGCGCCGCTAACGATCCATCACTTGTCGTTCACACAGCGTCAGCGTTCTCGGAGCGGTACCTCGGCATGCCGTTACGAGATGACAGCAGGTATCAGGTGCGTGTTCTCCTCCTCCTGCTGCTTGTTTGTGTTGATCTGTGCACGTCACACTCACTGGAGCTCTGCCGTTGTGTTGGTTCTCTGGTGGTTTGTTGTTCGAGGCGTGTTGGGTTTTGTCGCTCACGTGCGCAGCTGCAAGAACTCGTCATGTTTAACTTGAAGCGCCGCCTTTCCTCCAGTGGTGCAGAGATGATTCAGGTCGTGGCTGAACGTTTCCCTCGTGTTCAAAAAGATTCGGGCCCGGAAAACGTCTGCACGAGATCTTTTTATTTCATCCTTTACGTCGGAGAGTTAAAAAATAAAAGTCTTCTCCCAGTTCCAGGGTTTTACTGAAACTGGTCTGGTCATTACCCGGTTCTGAAAGGATTCAAATCGGACCTCATGTGAACAAAATCAAAAAAGGAAAAACTGTTTTCAGAGCAAGCAGGTGTGGGTGAACACAACGTCAAGGTGGAAAGACATCAGCAATGACCTCGGAGAGGATTCCCATCAATCAGGGAGAGGTCAAAGGTCATTTCCAGTCTGTCTGGAGTCCATTGTTCTACACAAAGATTCTTCACAAGAGGACAACTCTGAAGACAGGGGACAGTCTTACAGCAGATTCACCCAGCAGGTCAGACTGTGCAGTGACCCTACAGGTCGGTCAAAGGTCATGACCACAACATGACAGCACCTGTTCCGTTTGGGAAGTTTTACCTGAAGGAACCACAAGACTTCTGGACCAGAACCAGACCAGGACAGATGTTTACCCGGAATGCACTGCAGCGAACAGCTCCTCCCAGCTGTCAGCACGGTGGTGGAGGCTGATGGTTTGTGCTCCTGTCAGTCACCGAGTGGACCAGGAACTCTGTAGACCAAAGGGTTCTGGAGCCAGAGTCCATCTGTCCAACATCTGAAGCTTGGACCAAACTGGGTCCAACAGAACCATGATCCCAAACACAGCAGCTGATCTACAACAGAACGGGTCAAGAAGAACGGAACCAAGGTGCATGTGGAGTACCTCAGGCATCTATACTTGGCCCCCTTCTGTTTCTCCTTTATTTGCTCCGGTAGACCTGACTTTACTTTTTTAGGTTACTGTGTCTCCCAGTTCTTCAACATGTCTGGTTCTGGACCAGTCAGAGTCCAGAACCTCAGCCTGACTGAAATGCTGTGGTGGACCTTCAGAGAGCTGAGCAGAACTCTCAACGATGAAAAGAAGAGTGGACCAGAACCCCTCCACAACCATCTGAAGCTCATCCAGAAAACCACTAAAGGAGGTTCTACAGCTGCTGGACCCAGTAAGAGTAGAATATGTTCAGAACCTGGTAAAGACCAGGTCCGTTTTATTATAAACCCTGGAACAGAAGAGGGGAGGGGCTTTATTTGCCCATGCCTGTAAATCCTGGCTCCACAGTTCTCTTTGCACAGCTTTATTTGAACATGTCTTCGTGTGGTTGGCATGAACGAGTTCATAATCCTCCTGGTGTTTCTGGTTCTGCTTCAGTTCTCCAGTCTGCTGCAGAACGTCCAGGCTCTCCGGGAGCAGACTCTGATGCTCGTGCACGGCACCGCAGACGGTAAGAGCAAATAAATCACTGGGGTCAATAAAACAAAACGTGCGGCAGCTCGGCTCAGAGAAGCTTCCAGTCGTGGGCGTTGCTCGTAGTTTTTAATCAAAAGAAAAGCTGCTAATCTAAACTGATGCTGGGACGTCCTGAGGAAAACAACCCCTGATGAATCATGCATGTCGGCTCTGTGGAGGTCTCCCCCACACACACAGATTGTTCTCCGGCTCTTGTTAGATCCAGGCTGGATTCTGCTGACACGCTTTGTTTTTTCTTCCAGCTAACATCCACTTTCAGCATACTGCTGAGCTCGTCAAGAACCTGGTGAAAGTTGGAGCGAACTACTCGATGCAGGTGAGTCACCGCAGAAAGAAAACAGCTCCCTGCTACAAGATCTACATCATCTGGTGCTGGGAGGCCTTAAATTAGCTCAAGATCAACAGCATGGGATGTTTAATGAAAACTGATTTCAGCAGCAGTAACTCTGTTGGACCTCATTAGTTGCATCAAACTTCAGCTTCTTCGGGGCTGCACACTGGTGACAGTGAGCTGCTTGAGGAGTCACAATGAAGATCTGGGAGAGAGTTGTGGAAGCTAGACTTAGATGAGAGGTGAGCAGCAGTATAGTTTCATGCCAAGAAAGAGCACCACAGACGCCATCTTTGCTTTGAAGATGCTGATGGAGAAGAACAGAGAGGGTCAGAAAGAACTCCATTGTGTCTTTGTGGATTTAGAAAAAGCATATGACAGGAGGACATGTTAGACTGGTGCAGGACAGTGGTGAGATGTGCTGTAGAAGTGACGGATAGCTTCAAGGTGGAGGTAGGAGTGCATCAAGGCTCTACTCTGAGCCCCTTCTTGTTTGCTCTGGTGATGGACCAACTAACAGATGAGGTCAGGCAGGAATCCCCGTGGACTATGATGTTTGCAGATGACATTGTGGTCTGTGGTGAGAACAGTGAACAGGTGGAAGAGAACTTGGAGAGGTGGAGGTATGCACTTGAAAGAAGAGGAATGAAAATCAGATGTAGTAAGACAGAGTCCATGTGTGTGAATGAGAGGGAGGAGGTGCAACAGTGAGGCTACAAGGAGCAGAGGTCCCAAAGGTGCAGGACTTCAAGGACTTTGGGTACACTGTACAGGAAAATGGGAAGTGTAGTGAAGAGAGTCCAGGCGGGATGGAGTGGATGGAGAAAAGTTTCAGGAGTGATTTGTGACAAAAAGGTGTCAGCAAAGTGAGACCAGTGATGTTGTATGGAGACAGAACTGGTAGTAGCAGAAATGAAAATGTTGAGGTTCTCCTTAGGAGTGACAAGGATGGATAAGATCAGGAATGAGATCATCAGAGGTACAGCACAGGTTGAACAACTGGGAGATAAAGTTAGAGAGACGAGTCTGAGATGGTTTGGACATGTCCAGAGGAGGGACAGTGGGTATACTGGTAGAAGGATGTTAGAAATGCAGCTGCCAGGAAAAAGACAAAGAGGAGATCTATGGAAGCAGTTAGAGAGAACATGGAGGAGGACGACTCGCTGTGGAGAGGGAAAAGCCAAAAGAAGAAGTAAAATAAAATTGATCTTTCTGACGGGTGTGTGTGTTCTGTGATGTTCAGTTAACGTTGTAGCTAAAGGCTCGTAATGTGATGTTCTGCCAAGAAGACAGCAGAAACCTTCATCAAGGCTAGCCAAACAACGCTACGTTAGCCAACATCAAAGCTTCACACTTCTGCTCGAAGCAGAAACAATCTGTCGAGGTTTAGCTCATGTAGCGTTGTTTCATAACATAAACCTAAAACTCACTTGGCTAGCCTGGATTAAGACTTCTGCCCAGTAATGCGCCAACTATTGGACGGAACATCCCTTTAATAACAGCAGTCCAGCTGTTTTGAAGTGTCCCGAACAACTAATATCTTACCTGTTGTAGATAGCTCTAAAACAAATAAAAGTACAAATTTATCCCCAAACTGACGAGTTAACAGCTAATCTGGAATATTCACGGTCATTCTTACCGTGTCTCAGGATTATTTACAAACATGAACTCAAATGTTTCAGAGTTTAAAAGTTCATCAAACATTTGAGACCCGAGTTGATTAAAGGTGGCTGTGTTCAGACTAGCCCTTAGCTCATCACACGGAGGATAATCTTTACACACACAAAAAAAAAAGACTTTAAAATGGCCCAACTATAACTTGAAGGTGAACAGTCAGTGTCTTACCTGCAGCAAACCGTTTTGGAGAATTAGGAACTAATCATCTCAGGATCTGAAAGAACAAAAATAAACGTCACAAAATGTTTAGGTAGATTAAAGTACAAGTATCTCGTAGTACTGCAGGTGTATTTTTCTGAGTTTTCAGGCCTGCGATGATAAAAATAACTCTTTGTGTCTTTAGATTTACCCAGACGAGGGTCACTTCCTGTCGCAGCCGAGCCGTCAGCACCTCTACGCCACGCTCGCCGGTTTCTACAGGGAGTGTCTAAAGGAGGAGCTGCTACCGCTGCCCGAGGAGGAGGAGGAGGAGGAAGAGTAAGGCTCTGTGGCTCAGGATTGTACTGACACCCCCCTGAAGCCTTTTGGACCAAGTGTTTATCCAGATGTGGACACAGAGAGCAGCTGGAGCTCACAGCGTTTGTTCCCGAGCACTTCTTCGTGTGAATGTTTAAATGTGTTGAAAAGACGAAGGACGCCGCCGGGACTCCAGCTGGAACAAAGTTCTTCTGGTTCCAGGACGGTCGGTTTTCCCAGCAAAGCGCACGGAGGACTTCCTGCGTCGTGCACAGATCACCACCACGTGCATGGTCCTCACCTCGCCGGCGTCGGGACAACGACACAAACGTTCACGTTCGACGTTTTCTGTTGAAACCAGCAGAGAAAACGTTCAGCTTCACCTGATGACATCATCATCCTCCAGCACGAACATTTGACAGTTTTGTGTGAAAACTTTGCAGCGTCACTCGTTCAGGAGCCGCCGTGGTTAAAGGGTCAACTGTTTTTATTGAACTCGGGTTGTTTTAGAGCAGGAGCTCCGTCTGGATGGAGATCGGAGCTGGACGAGCGTTTTAAACTCCACCCTGTACCCGCTTCACCGCTCCATCCGCCGGAGGGCTGATCTGGACCAGTTGTTAGACCTGGACAGGGTTCCCTGCTCTTCACGAAAACAAAAGTTCCCGAGTAAATCCTGAAAGTCCAGAACGCTCGTAGCGGACAGAGTCACGTCCAGAGAGGACAGGAAGTAGACTGTAGCCTACGATACGTGCACACGGCCACATTAATAACAAACTAGAGAATCTCCTGTGAAAATGTAGTGAACGCTTATTGCTGAAGAACAGCTGAAATGTAGCTAAAGACGCAGAAAGAAGCTTAAATTACCAGAAGGAAGTTGAGAGAGCACATGTATGTTGAACTGGGCTGAAAAAGCCAAAATAAGCATAGAAATAGCTAAATAGTAGGTGAAATAACAGGAGCAGCAGAAAAGGCTGAAAAGAGCACAAGATGAAATTAACAAAGAAGTTAATTGGGGCTGAAAGTAGCAGAAATTACTACGAAAAGCTTGCATTTATCAGTGAACAGCTGAAATTAGCTAAAAAAATGCTAACAAGGTAGCTGAAAAAGTAAAGCTAGGTTACAAAAGCAAAAGAACACAAGTTTGCCCAATTTGGCTAAAATTAGCACAAAAAGTGGAAATTATCGTTAAAAAGCTAGAATTGGCTAAAAGCAGCTGAAAAGTAGCTAAAGTTACCAGATGAGAGATCACATTTACTGAACTGGGCAGGAAAAAGTTGAAATGAGTGCAAAAAATGTGGAGTTAGCTAAAAAATTAAAAAAAAGCTATCATAAAACAGCTGAAATAACTGGACCTAGCAGAAACCAGCTGAAATCGTATGAATGTGTAATAAGCATTCACACAATTGTTTAACGTCAGAAACTAAAAAGCCGCCAACGTCAGTCAGGACACGTGCACTCTGTGCACTGGAGAAGCAGGACATGGACTCCATGACACAAGAATACCAGCATAAATATAAAAACATGTTAAAATTTAAAAAATAATCTGTTTCCATTCATCACTTAGAGGAACTTCAGCAACAACGTTCAGCCGAGGCTGCAGCCTCAAAACATCTGACGGGAAACAGCCGAGGCTGCAGCCTCAAAACATCTGACGGGAAACAGCCGAGGCTACAGCCTCAAACCATCTGACGGGAAACAGCCGAGGCTACAGCCACAAACCATCTGACGGGAAACAGCCGAGGCTGCAGCCTCAAAACATCTGACGGGAAACAGCCGAGGCTACAGCCTCAAACCATCTGACGGGAAACAGCCGAGGCTACAGCCTCAAAACATCTGACGGGAAACAGCCGAGGCTACAGCCTCAAAACATCTGACGGGAAACAGCCGAGGCTGCAGCCTCAAACCATCTGACGGGAAACAGCCGAGGCTACAGCCTCAAACCATCTGACGGGAAACAGCCGAGGCTACAGCCTCAAAACGTCTGACGGGAAACAGCCGAGGCTACAGCCTCAAAACATCTGACGGGAAACAGCCGAGGCTGCAGCCTCAAACCATCTGACGGGAAACAGCCGAGGCTACAGCCTCAAACGATCCATTAAAAATGTTCAAATCTCCCGTATCGTTTTAAATTCTTCTTTTGACGTTGAGAGCTCAGAGATAAACCGCACGTCAGCCTCGTTCAGGTGTTTTTATACTTTACCCAGAATCCTCGGCTGCACTAAGAGTATTAAAATCGCCTTCTTCCTCCTCCGCAGCTCAAATGCTGCAATCTAGGTAAAGGCGGAGTTATCTACGACAGGTACGATGTTAACTGTTCAGAGCTTCTCCACTGAACTGTCACTTTAAGGTTTGTGTGGGGCTCCTGGATCAAGGAGAAATAATGATTGTTGATTAGTTTTGACATTAACGATACATTTGTTTCATTTATTCAAACGAAGGTGAAATAAACAATAAAACACACTTTAATTAGATCGTGGACAACATCATTTTTACTTCCTGCTCGTAAAGCCGAAGACATCTGCTGTTCTTGTGACCGATTGGAGCAAAAACTAAAACGTTGTTTTAGATTCAGTCTTTTGTCTCCAGACAGCTGGACGCTCTGCAGCCAACAGCTGATTCATACAACCCAAATGAAAACAATCCCTTTAACGCGTGTCGGCTCCGCTCATTCTATAAAAACACAAAACGTTTATTTAAAGATTTCTGCAGCGCTTCAAAAACCACAACTGTGTGCTCCGATTCTGGACGGACTTGTCTCCAGTTTTTGGACCCGGAACATTCAGACCTGCTGAGTCGGCAGTTCTCCAGCAGCGCTGAGGTCTTTGCATGTCGGTAGAAATGTTGACGTTTTGTACAGTAAACAACAGCAGAGCGTGTAAATAAATATATTTTTAAGACCTCATTAGTCCACGAGGACGAATCGACTTCCTGTAAATTTCTCTTGTTTCCTTTCGGCTGTTTTTTTCCCCTCTTTAGGGTGGATTTTGTATTGTTTGTCCTTGTTCTTTTAGCTGTTTTAAACAGAGGGAGGGGCTGAGAGTCAGGGGTTACTGTGGCTGTCCTCCAGTGAAGATTATAAATAAACAAAAACACAACCTACGAAAACAAATGTTTACTGTGTGAATGATGAAACCAAGCTGTCAAAACTACAAGAACAGTAGCTAAAGAAAGCTCAAACCTAGCTCAAACATCAAAACCTAAATAGAAGACATGTAACAAGACGTTAGCTAACAGCTAAAAGTAGCAGGACAGCAGGTCAAAGCCAAAAGTACCAAAATACTCGCTAAAATCAGCTGAATGTTTGTTAAAAGCAAGGCAAAAATGCAAAACAGTAGCTAAACGCTAGTTCAAACATCTAAACCTAGCTAGAATACAAGTAAAAGGAAGGTAACAGCTAAAGGTAACAGATCAGCAGCTTAAGGCAAGGCTAAAAATAAAAGCAAAGTAGCTAAAAGTGGCAAAAGACTAGCTAAAAGCAACATATCACTAGTTAAAAACTAAAGAAACCATCAGAGAGCAGCTGAAGCAAAGAACGTTTTACAAAAGTAATCGTGTTTCTACGAGGAAAATATCTGTAAATGAAGTTAAATATTTTAAAGATTATAAAAGTTACAAAAGTCAGAGCACCATCTCACTCCATCTACCTCCACGTCCTCTAACTGCATCCATGTACAGGTGCTGGTCATTAAATTAGAATATCATGTGAAAGTTGATTTATTTCAGTAAATCCATTCAAAAAGTGAAACTTGTTTATTATATTCATTTATTACGCACAGACTGATATATTTCAAATGTTTATTTCTTTTAATGTTGATGATTATAACTGACAACTAATGAAAACCCCATATTCAGTATCTCAGAAAATTAGAATATTGTGAAAAGGTTCAATATTGAAGACACTTGATGTCACACTCTAATCAGCTAATTAACTCAAAACACCTGCAAAGGCCTTTAAATGGTCTCGGACTAGTTCTGTAGCTACTCAATCATGGGGAAGACTGCTGACTGGACAGTTGTCCAAAAGACGACCAGTGACACCTTGCACAAGGAGGGCAAGACACAAAAGGTCATTGTTGAAGAGGCTGGCTGTTCACAGAGCTCTGTGTCCAAGCACATTAATAGAGAGGTGAAGGGAAGGAAACGATGTGGTAGAAAAAAAGTGTACAAGCAATAAGGGATAACTGCACCCTGGAGAGGATTGTGAAACAAAACCCATTCCAAAATGTGGGGGAGATTCACAAAGAGGGGACTGCAGCTGGAGTCAGTGCTTCAAGAACCACCACACACAGACGTATGCAAGACATGGGGTTCAGCTGTCACATTCCTTGTGTTAAGCCACTCTTGAACAAGAGACAGCATCAGAAGCGTCTCACCTGGGCTAAAGACAAAAAGGACTGGACTGCTGCTGAGTGGTCCAAAGTTATGCTCTCTGATGAAAGTAAATTTTGCATTTCCTTTGGAAATCAAGGTCCCTGAGTCTGGAGGAAGAGAGGAGAGGCACAGAATCCACGCTGCTTGAGGTCCAGTGTCAAGTTTCCCCAGTCAGTGATGGTTTGGAGTTCCATGTCATCTGCTGGTGTTGGTCCATTGTGTTTTCTGAGGTCCAAGGTCAACGCAGCCGTCTACCAGGAAGTTTTAGAGACTTCATGCTTCCTGCTGCTGACCAACTTTATGGAGATACAGATTTCATTTTCCAACAGGACTTGGCACCTGCACACAGTGTCAAAGCTACCAGTACCTGGTTTAAGGACCATGGTGTCCCTGTTCTTAACTGGCCAGCAAACTCACCTGACCTTAACCCCATAGAAAATCTATGGAGTATTGTGAAGAGGAAGATGTGATACACCAGACCCAACAATTCAGAAGAGCTGAAGGCCACTATCAGAGCAACCTGGGCTCTCATAACACCTAAGCAGAGCCACAGACTGATCCACTCCGTGCCACGACGCATTGCTGCAGTAATCCAGGGAGTCTGCTCACACAGACTCATGTTCGTGCTGCTGTTCGGCGTACAGTAGTCCTTCGTTTATCGCAGGGGATCCGTATCCTGCAGACCCGTGGTAAGTAAAAAACCATGAAGTAGGAATAGTAGAACAAGTGGTAAGTAGTAGTTTATTTTAGTGTATATATATATGTATATATGTATGTATATATATATATATATATATGTATATGTATGCGTGTTTTAAACCCTTCCCACCCTCTTGCAATATTCTACACGTTTCTAAACTCTAAACGCTCTAAAAGAGCAGATTGTCATGGCTTCAGCTCCTGCCTCCTCTGCTCTTTGTCACCTGCAAGCGCTCTTGGCCACGCCCACTTCTCTGTTCTGCAGCTGAACATCTGATCAGCTGTTCATCTGCAACAGGAAGTTTATCCTGCAGCAGTAAGGGCTGCACAAAGCTGCAGGAGGACGCTTTTTCTGCTGATGAGCTGCACAAATATGCAGCACGTGCTAAATAATTTAAAATAATTTATTTTAAATAAAAATCTCATGCCGATCGTGCGGCTCATCCATCAATCAGCCGATTGTGTCATGTCCAATCTGGTTTTGAAAAACCGCCATAGAGCGAGTCCACGATAAACGAACCGCGAAGTTGCGAGGGACTACTGTGTTGTTGTTATACTAGTAGTGCTTCGTGTATTTATAGTTAACATTTTACTTAGTTCATATCTTAGATCTTATTACAGTTTTTCTTTTACATTTTGTACTTTTGTTGGATGTAACTGGGACCCTGTGTACACAATTTCATACGACAACGAACCTTGAATCCTTGAAAAGGAGCCCCAACTAAGTACTGAGTGCTGCACATGCTCATACTCAGCTGGCCAACTGTTCTAAAAACCCCTTTTTTTATTGGTCTTAAGAAATGTTCTAATTTTCTGAGATACTGAGTTTTGGGTTTTCATTAGTTGTCAGTTATAATCATCAACATTAAAAGAAATAAACATTTGAAATATGTCAGTCTGTGTGTAATGAATGAACAGAATAAACAAGTTTCACTTTTTGAAAGGAATTACTGAAATAAATCAACTTTTACATGAAATTCTCATTTTATGACCAGCACCTGTTTCCTGCAGCTGCATTTCTAACATCCTTCTACCAGTATACCCACTGTCCCCCCTCTGGACATGTCCAAACCACTGTCCCCCCCTCTGGACATGTCCAAACCACTGTCCCCCCCCTCTGGACATGTCCAAACCACTGTCCCCCCCTCTGGACATGTCCAAACCACTGTCCCCCCATCTGGACATGTCCAAACCACTGTCCCCCCATCTGGACATGTCCAAAACACTGTCCCCCCATCTGGACATGTCCAAA